ACAAATCTTAAAGAAAAAGGAGTTGTCTCATTCTATCTATGTATCAAATTAAGGTTCACCAAATTTACTGTGATTTAGTCTCTGGCACATAAGGGATTTAATAAATAAGTTTTGAGTAAATAAATGAAAGAAAGCGGAAATTCACCCGTAAGCCTTAGCTCTCTAAGTTTGAGAAGACAACTGCAGCCAAAGCAACTTTTCCTGCCAAAACAAGCATGGAAGTACAATTCAAGTCATTCTTCACATACACTGGCTGTTGAAACAAAGCAATTACACAATCATTCTGCATGACAACACACCTGAGCCCTGCCCAGGACCTGATGAATAAGTCACAAAATGATCATAACATGCAACGTTTATTCAAAGGTAACATTTTGTATACACTGTGGAATAGATCTATAGATACGTTTTTCTTGGTGAAAATTCATTCTTTTGTGATCATAATCAGAAGTGGCTTTAATAGCTAGGTTAGGAGATGGCCTTTCACATTTGCCCCGCTTCCCCTCAGTCTTCAAGGCAGCTGGACAGGCTTCAGGTACTAATCGGAAGACACACTTTAGAATATGACATATCTGACCTTGAATCCTACTTCTACCACATCAGTGTGACTTTGGGGACAATCCTCACTCAATCTAACCATTGATGTAAAGGAGTTTTCTATCACTTCCTTCTATACTGAGTTGTTAAAAAAAAAAAATTAAATGAGATAATGCTGAAGTCTTTAACACAGTATAGTCACAGTGCATTCCATGCCTTCTTGAAAATGTTCAACTTAATGAGAAAAAAATATGTTATCAAATCAAAGGAAATTGTTTAAGCTGCAACTTTTGTGTCATAAAGAAATGGCTCCTCCTTAAAATCTATTACACTGGGTCTAGCATAATAACCTAGTAGCTAAAGATCTTAGCTTGCATGTGTCTGGATCCCATATGGGCACCAATTCTAATCCCTGTGGCCCTGCTTCCCATGCAGCTCCCTGCTTGTGGCCTGGGAAAGCAGTCGAGGACAGCTCAAAGCCTTGGGACCCTGAACCCATGTGGGAGATCCGGAAGAGGCTCCTGGCTCCTAGCTTCAGATCAGTAGCTCTGGCCATTGCGGCCACTTGGGGAGTGAATCACCAGACGGAAGATCTTCCTCTCTGCCCCTCTCCTCTGTATATCTAACTTTCCAATAAAAATAATTCTTTAAAAAAATACAACAAAGTCTGTTACACTAACTCCCTTTCCAATAAGTTCCCATTCTGCAATATAGAAAAGCATGTGTCAACCCAGTGTTTATTTTCCCTGTCAAACAAGCTATACATTTTCCTTTAGTATAAAATATAAGCAGAGGGTCCCCAAGAGGAATTATTTGAGAACTTAACAGAAAATTAAAACGTTCAAAAACTATAAAATCATCAAAAATCATAAAAAATGCCCAAGTCAGAAAGTTTTCATATTTTTGAGGGGCAAGGTAAAATGTTAAGTCTGAGGCAGGCATTGTGGTGCAGTGGGATAAAGCCACACTGCAACACTGGCATCTCATATGGGCACCACTTAGTCTTGGCTACTGCACCTAGGAAAGCATCACATGGACCAAGTACTTGGGCCCCTGCTACTCACGTGGGAGACCTGTCTTGTGTCCCTGCAACTCATGTGGTAGATCTAGGAAGCCAGGTTCTGCTTAGCCAGGCCTGGTCTGCCCTGGCCATTGTGGTTACCCAATGAATCAATGCATGGAAGATGTATGTGTATCTATGTATTTCTCTCTTCCTCCCTGTCTCTCTTTCTGTCTCTTCTCTGTCTCTGTCTCTCTCTCTCTCTCTCCAACTCTGCTTTTCAAATAAATAAATATATAGATGTCTGTTAAAAAGAAGGAAAATCAAAATTCAAACAGTTGATCTGTTAAACAAAAACAAGAAGGCTACTCAATAAAATAGCTTCCGTTAACAAAATGCATGCTCGTTTGTTACGTTGATCAAGACTTTTTAAGGAAACAAAGATTAAAGAGGCTTAACAGGAGATCCTTTCTCTCAAGTAGTGCAACTATATAATTATAATAAGGGGGCAGAGATAAGAGCTATAAATAGAGATGTACAAAAGTGCTGTGGGAAGGGTGGGAAATTTGAGGGCATGACTTATCCCGAGATGGCACTTCAGACACTAGAGGCAGAGCAGAATGAGAAGCAGATATAAAGCAAAGGGAAGAGGCACTTCTCTTAAATGAAATAGCATGAATAAAACTCTTCTTTATGAGAGAAAGCTAATATTATTAACAGAGTGAAAGGGAGAAGAAAGCTTAGATCCTGGAATTTGTTGATCTTGTGAAAGCTAAATTAAACATGAAATTCACGGCAGCGAATTACTTAAATACATTTAATGGTATACGTTTCCTTATGACTGTATTCTTTCCTGAGAAGGTTAAGTGATTATTTTTCAGTCCTAATTACAATATGGGACAATAAGACTGGGATAACTCCTGGGAATCACCTGGTGATTGAAGCACTTATTCAGCAAGTCTGTTATCTGCATTTCACAAGGAGTTCAGCAACCTCTTTCTCTATAATCAAGGGGAGTAAAAAAAACGCCTGGCTAAGCCATCCCCAGAGTTATATGAACTCCACGCAGGATCTTTTAAAATCATTTCATCTGCCTTGAAACATTCTTTCATAGTTGCTTCTCAAAGAACAGACACCTTGATTGGCAAATTTTTTTTTATCATTCTTTAAGCAGGATGGGAGTATGCAGAAATTGCACAGTTGTTTACTCATTGAAATCATGCCAAACACAGCTCAGTAACCAGAACTCAATCACTGAAGGTTCATGTTCATGTTGCCCACTGAACAATTAACTTGTTGTGGTTATATAAAGTTGCTTAATTCCTCCTCCATTGATGTAGAATAAAATCTGAGGGACTATGAACAACCTACAGAGGACACTAAGATTGTAGAGTCACATGGATAACAATAATGAAGAATCAAAAAGAAGGCAAATATTTTCAGGCTAGCTCCAAAAAAGGAAGCCTTTACAATTAAGAAATATTTTACCCACTTTCATAAAGGGCAAAGGCTGTAAACTCTGAGAAGAATCACTGTGCTTGAGTTTGGTCCTCAGTACTTTATGAAGTAACTGTCAACCTTTATGAGTTGGAAACTCCAGACTACAACTGTTCTTTAAGAATCTGAAGCTTGGGTAGCACTGGACTTCTGTTCTGTGCCTGACTCCCAGATAAATGTGTGAGCAACTCTTGACTATGGCTTTAAAAATCAATCCAGTTCCCTGACACAAATATCTTCATGTTCTTAAGTGGGAAGACGAGAAACTGGCATCGTGGTGTGCTGGGTAAAGTCATAAAATGGGCACTGGTTCATGTCCTGGCTGCTCCACTTCCCTTCCAGCTCCCTGCTAATGTGTTTGCAAAAGCAGTGGGAGGTGACCCAAGTGTCTGGGCCCCTGTACCCACGTGGGAGACCCAGAAGATGATCCTGGCTCCTGACTCCTGGCTTCAGAAGGGCTCAGCTCTGGCTGATGTGGCCATTTGGGGAGTGAATCAGTGGACAGATCTCTGCTTCTCCCTCTCTCTGTAACACTTTCAAGTAAAATAAACCTTTTTGTTTTAAGGTGGCAAAAGGGGCCAACGCCGTGTCCACTATTTGTAAAATCTCCCTTTCAAATAAAAAACTAAATAAATCTTTAAAAAAAAAGGTTGTTATGTTAATTATGTAGCTCATATATTAATCAAATACAGTTAGCAGACTTTGTTACTTACGATTCAGGACTACTTCATAAAGATTTACAAAAATAAAACAAAGAGCAAAACCTGCCCTTAGTGAGCAAGAGAGAAACAATTCAACAGTTGGTGGAAGGAGGTCCTTAAATAAAATTTAAACTAAAACTGGACTCAATTTTTCACTTTAAACAACAAAGGTGTCAAGACTAAAGCACAGATGTGATTTTAGTCAGATATCAGCTAAACAGAATCCAATATGCATTCATACATATTTATACATAATATATGTACATATACATAAATGTACACATATATTTGTATGTCATACACAAAAAAGGATGCAGAGAAAGATCTGAAGGAAGATGAGACTAAACAATCACTAATTATTTACAGCAAGTTGTCACGTTAGTCAAATGTCAAGTGTGATCTTTTTACCAACCAAAATTCATCTAAAATATTCTAAAACCTGACTGAACTCAATGCCTGATTACTTTACCTGAAAAGTGTTACAGTAACTTGAAACAAAATAAGCAAGGGGGTCACTTCAATAGCACTTTTTAATGGTAGAACACTGCTATCAAATGTTAAAAATGAAAACAGATTTACCCTGTCAAATCATAGTGAGAAGTACAGAGAGGACAGTCATTAGCGTGTAGTGGGCAAAGTACCACAGGAGATGTGTGCCGAGTGTTCGCAACTCAGTGAGGATTCTGGCAACGCCGGGTAGTGTGATGGTTTCCTAATGGTGTTCGGTGCACCCTCCGCCCCTCAGCATTCTACCCTCCGCAATTTTCTGTGGGTGGGGATGACAAGGCATCATCGCGGTAATACTTTATACGTTCTACTGCTCCAAAGGACTGTTAAGCTACCACAGCCGTGACACAGCTTTCCCTCATCCAAGGACGTCCTGTGCCTGGCAAGCCAAATGCTCCTGGGGAAGAGCGCTGCACTGGGCAGTGTGGCCACCTGTCCCCTGCTGCAGACAGGCTGTTTTGCGCGGATGCTCCGGAGTTCCAGGTTCCTTTTCAGGAAGTCCCCTATTAAAAGGTGACCCAACTCCAGCACCAGGACAGTTCAACTCAGCCGAGGGGGTCGCGTGAGGCCGTGGTCCCCTAGGCCTGGGTGGGGTAGCCTCAGCATGGCACGTCGCTCTCGGACGACCCTCCCAAGCCCTGGAACCGGGACCCAGGGCCCCAAGAGGCGAGCGGTGGGCACGCGATACCCGGCCCCTCCGGCCCTGGACTCCCATTCCGAATATTGTGCGCCTCCTCTAAACGTCACCCCCGGCTCACCAAAAAGCGCGTCGAGCTGGTGCCCTGATCCACAGCTCCCACCAGTGGCCCTAAAACTGCTTTCTTCGAGGCTGCCATGAAACCAGCTTCAAGTCTGCGGGCGAGCTCAGCCGGTTTCCCGGGTGACGGCGGCGGACTAGGGAGGAGCTGGCGGCGAGGCCGGAGGGCGAGAAGGCACGAGTCCGCTGAACGCTCGGACCGCGCTCAGGGCGGCCCCTTTACCCGCGCGGAACCTTCTCACCCCGCCCCTCTGGAGCAAACCCCGCCCCCTCCCGCGGCGTTCTCAGGGACCTTGGGCGTGAGGAAAGCGGCGGGGGGTGTCGCTGTCCGCCTGGCCAGCCAATGAGCGAAGGCGGAAAGAGGCCGAAGAGTCGGACAATCAGAGGGCGGTGAGACGTCACGGGGGCGGGGCCTGGGCGCGGCGGAGGCGTTGGCTTGTACGGCAGGTCACGTGGGGCTGCCGGCGGGCCGGAGGCGGAGCCAGCCTGCTGCAGGGTCGGGGCGGAGGCGGGCGCTACCCGTTGGCACGGAACAGCCGCTGGGCTGCAGGCAGTACACACCTCCATCTGCGCCCTGGGCCCGCGCCCGCAGATATCTCCCAAAGTGCAGAACTGCTACTTCATTTTGGTAGGCTGTGTGAAGCACGACCTGAGTCGCCTGGCCCACTCACCCCGGACTTCCCGCGCTTCCCACGGCCCACCCACCTCCTTGCACTTGGCTGCTGATAATGCTAATAATCTCTTATGTAAACGATTGACACACATGGGGTCATGTGAAGGGATAGCGCGAATCCCTAACTTTTGTAGGCTTTTCAGGGACAAGGAAGCGGTTTAGCATTTAGGCAAAGTACTGGAATTCAACCTCAAGTCACTCTATTGACCATCCAGGCAGAAGGCATCTAGCCAGCACCTCCTTGTCCTGATCCGCCCTTGTGCCTAGCTTGGCTTCACTCGTGTCCCCTCCCCCAACGCCATTTCCTCTCCCTCCATTAAAAGCTTAGGTCACAGAAAAACGACTCTTTTTGACCTTGAACTTCCCTGTGTTCAAGGGGCGTTTAAATTTTGAAAAGAAGACTCAGATTGTGAAATAGTCTGGCAAACCAATACATGGGACACGATGCGTATTTAATTATATAGGAACATGTAAAATATTACCTATTAACTATTTCCCAGAGAGTGTCTTTCCAAGCTATCCATTCCATCTGTATTCTAAGGCATATTACTTTTGAAAACGCTGATTGAAAATCACTACATTGATTTTGTAAATAACCACACTATTAAGTTCAAGAACACTCTACTATTCTCACTCATATAATTCCATCCCTTTGTCAAAGCTCATCATCATTTGGAACATCATTTCTTTGTTTGCTCCACTACCACACATGTTCACCACAGGGCTGGCATGGTTTCCCACACTTCCTCTGGAAGCAATTTTTCCTGTACTTTGTTTGGATATCACATTCTGGTGACCAACGATAAGCCTCTGTATGGAGTAGCTCTCCTTGATACTTATTGATAAACTTAGGGCCCAGTGTGTTAGCCAAGCAGCTAAAGTCTTTACCTTGCACACACCAGGGACCCATATGGACATCAGTTCTAATCCCGGCAGCCCCACTTGCCATCCAGTTCCCTGCTTGTGGCCTGGGAGAGCAGTCAAGGATGGACCAAAGCCTTGGACCCTGCACCCGCGTGGGAGACCCAGAAGAGGCTCCTGGCTCCTGGCACCAGATGGGCTTAGGTCTGGCTGTTGTGACCACTTGGGAAGTGAATCAGTGGACAGAAGATCTTCCTCTTTATCTCTCCTCCTCTCTGTACATCTGAGTGAATGATAAAGGTAAGAATTCCCTTGGTTCCAGAAGGCAGTAAAAACAGAGCCACCAAATCTACCACACAAACACATTTTTAAAAATCCTAACCATGCTTGTACTTTCACACCCCTCTGTCAGAGTCTAACTACAGCAAATTACTCACTTAGCAACACAGTGGGATCAGAAAAAGTAGATTTAGTTGTAGATGAGAAAGTCTTAAATCTATTGTGCAGTGGTTCCTGGACAGTTTATATTTCACATTCTCACCCCTTTCAGTAAACAAAACAGAAAAGCTAAGAAACTACTTGAACTTCCGGGACTCACATACACCTAAGTGCCCTCTCAGAGCCCAGGAAGGACACCAGAAGGGGCCTTCACAGACAGTCCAGTTCAATCTATCTCAACTCCATACCCTAAATACTTACTCTGAACTCTCAAAGGTTGAATTTTTCTTACCCTTGTGGATCTATTCCCTTTTCCTTGCCCTTTCTCACCTCTTCAAGTGCTAGCTGCATTGTGAAAACTGCACTTATATATTATATGTGAATATAAAAATCAACCTAATAAATATTTAGATACTTTTTTCTTACTATCTTTGAGACTGAGTTGGCGCATCAAGGCTGACAAACATACTTGAAATCTACTAACTGCCTGTGGCAGAGTCCAGAGTAGAGCCTGGGGCTGGCACCGTGGCATATTGAGTAAAGCTCTATCCTGCAATTCCAGCATTATATGTGGGCACCTATTTGAGTCCTGGCTGCTTCTGTTCTGATCTACCTCCCTTCTCATGCACCTGGGAAAGCAGTGGAAAATGGCTCAAGTGCTTGGAATCCTGCACCCCATATGAGGGACCCAGAAGAAGCACCTGCCCAGCTCTGATTGTTGCAACTATTTGGAAATGAACCAGCAGATGAAAGATATATCTTGGGCCCTGTGTGATATCTCAGTGGCTAAATCTTCCCTTTGCAAGTGCCGGGATTCCATATAGATGTCAGTTCCTCTCCTGGCTGCTCTACTTCCCTTCCAGCTCCATGCTTGTGGCCTGGGAAAGCAGTCGAGGACAGCCCAAAGCCTTAGGATTCTACACCTGTGTGGGAGAGCCAGAAGAAACTCCTGGCTCCTGACTGTGGATGGGCTGAGTTTTGACCATTGTGGCTACTTAGGGAGTGAACCAGCTGACGGAAGATCTTTCTGTCTCTCCTTCTCTCAGTAAAATCCGATTTATTTTGCCAACAAAAATAAATGTCATTTTTAAAAAAAGATTTATTTTCTGTTCATAGGAAAGTCAGATTTACAGCACTTGCTTTCTTTCTCTGTAACTCCTTTCAAATAAATGAATAAAATATTAAAAACACAAAACAAAACCAAAATCCTAGTGCCCCTTTACAGCAGCCTGAAGGAGTTAGAAAGTAAATGAAAGTAGGAATGGAAATGTTTACAAAGGAAGGAGGATGTTGGTCCATCTTGGTTTCCCCACCTATCTCAGATCTGAAGGCATAGTAGAGAACAAACAAACAAACAAACAACAACAAAAAAAACCAGACTACCAGACTTGAAGGCACAGAACATTCAGCACTTAAAATTTTTAACCTTGAGTAACTAATTTCATGGCTTCTTTTTGCTCTTTTGTAAAATAGGGAAAATGTCACTGACACTGACGTTGACAGTATAATGGGAAAATGAAATGACGTAATGCTTGTAAAAGCACTGTGCAGACCACGCAGTGAATTATGAAAGGTGAGATGCAACCTCACTTGTTTCGACCAAGGAAAGCCAGAAGTGAACACCAAACACTTTCATGCAAATCATTTAGGTAGCTTGAGTCATTCAAAGCTGCTGTGGTGATTTCTTACTGGTAGAGCAGGAAATCAAGGTTAAGCCACTTTTGGAGAGTCTCTAAGTGTTTCACTTACTCCTTCTCTGGTTTTTCCTGTTCTTTGTTAACTTACACAGAATTAATGTAATCAGAAACCCTACATTTCCCTAGAGGAACTTTATTTTCCCAGTACAACTTCCTGTCTTCTCATTTTTACTTGAGAAGCAGCCCTTATTCTTTATAATGTAATCTACTTGTAAAGTTGGCATTTCCTTAAACTGTTCTTGCTATTCTGATTACTTCGATATGGATTGACGTAGATATGGAAAACACAGAACGGAAAGTTAGGGATAAAAGGGCACGATGTAAGCACATATATGAAATTACTTGCTCCCAAATTCCTGAAGGAATTAAGGAATTTAAATATACCTGATTAAAAATAGCCCCCCAGTATTTAAGGTTTATAATATTTAATAAATCTGATCAAAATGCAATTTCTTCCACAAATTGGTAAATCAACTCAGATGCATGCTAAATAATGTAAGTGTAACTAAAACTGTGTGTCCTTTTATGCAGTGTTGTGATTGTAATAGGCTAAGGATGTGGCAGTGAAGCTCAAACTTCACATGCCTCAGAGCCACTTGCTGGATTTGTTCATTCTGGGCTGCAACTCCAGAACTTATTTAGAACAGATGAGTTCTGATCATTTACATTTCTTTTATATTTTTAAAAATTTATTTATTTTTATTGGAAAGTCAGATTTACAGACAGAAGGAGAGACAGAGAAGAAAGATCTTCTGTCTGTTGATTCACTCCTCAAGTGGCCACAATGGCTGGAGCTGAGCCAATCCACAGCCAGGAGCCAGGAGTCTCCTCCAGGTTTCCCACAAGGCTGCAGGGACCCAAGACTTTGGGCCATCCTCGACTGCTTTCCCAGGGTACAAGCAGAGAACTGGATGGCAAACGGGGCTGCTGGGATAGGAACCGGTGCCCCTATGGGATCCTGGTGTGTGCAAGGTGAGGACTTTAGCCACTAGACTACTGCAATGGGCCTGGTCACTTAAATTTCTAATTAGTACCCGTATGATGCTGACACTTCTGGTACAGCAACTACACTCTACTTAGCTACGAATTATGCTGGAAAGTGTAGCCTTCTGAAATTTCACAAACTACAGCAAAACCATGAGATAAAGGAACTCTTTTTTATGGAATTGCTAATGTCCATTTCTTTCAAATTTCAAGTCTCTATTAACATTCAAATCATCCATGTAAGATATTGACAGATAAAAGCTTAAGGTAGTGAGTTGTTAAACATTAATTAATATGAGAATAATGAGTTTAAATGATGAATATTCCTGGCCACTCTTTCCTACCCTGACACCCCCTAAATACAATGAGCTATATTCTTTGATGCCAGGGACTTTGTCCTGACCGCTATTTTATTCATACGCTTGGGCTTGATCTGTAAGTGATTGCTGAGAAAATAAAAATGATTGCTATAATTTGACCACTGATGACTCATGGCATCAACTAATGATACTGTTTTGTTATGCCCTCCAATA